TCAAACTGGGCACTTGGTCTGTGTGTTGATTTGTGGGATGGTGGCAGGGGCAGGGGGGGTGGTCCTCCACCCCACCTAACTCCCCTTTGGTGCCTGTACCCTGTATACCACTGTCCCTGAGAGCTCCTTCCGGTCATGGGGGCATTTGGCCTGGCAAATTTCTTTTCCCTGAAAAGAAAGTGAAGCCTCCAAGACCCCATTTGCATATGGGCAACCCGAGAAGGCTTTCAGCACCTACAGTCAGGCCATGAAGCTTCACCATCAGTACAGTTCTGCGGAAGTGTCCAGTTCCTGGCACAGGGACCAGGGATGTGTGAGTAAATCAAGAGGCACTGGAGCTGCTCATCAGCCTTCACTTCAGCTTCAATGAATAGGGAAACATTTATGATAGTCTCTATAGATGCTGAAACAATATTTGGCAAAATTTACAATCTATCCCTTAAGATGCTAAGTTAAGATTAGAAAGAAACATCCTAATCTAGATGAAGGTTTCGATCAAGCCAGACACCATGGGCGTTCCCACAAGTCAGATACTAGCCTGAGACCTGCTGTTATTGAAGGAAGTCCTGGCACTACTCATTCCTGCAGGATGGCTGATGAGGGAGATGAAAAAGAGTTATAGTTGTCATTATTTGTAGACGACAGAATGGCCGACCTTTCACATCTGAGAGAGTCAGCGGAAGACCTATCAAGAGCATCTGTAAGTTGACCCAGATGATATACATCATGTTCCTATACCAAATCAGCCCATAAAGTCAACGTATTCCAGTGAGATTGAATGTTTCTTGGAATTTGACAGGTTCTAAAGTTCATTTGGAAGAGTAAATGTGTGCGAATACCAAGAGAATTTAATTCTGAGTAATTCAGGGGTGGTGGCGCTGAGGTGGGCGGCAGGTGCTTGTCCCCTATGGGACTTCCCAGAGGACTCTCAAATAAGCGACTGTGAGTTCAGGCAGTGAGACCTGGAGTGGGAACAGACAGAAAGACTGATGGAACAAATGGGAGCGTCCAGACACAGACCCAGGTATACAGGAATTTAGTGTAGGATAAAAGGAGTATTTTAAGTGGGGAAAAAGATGGATAATTTAATAAACAGTACTTTAAGCAACTGGCTATCTATTAAAGTAAGAGTTAGAGCTCTACCTCACAGTTTCTACAAAAATTAGTTCCAGAGGGAAAAATCAAAAAATTAAACTACAAAATTACTGAAGAAAATATAGGGTATTTTTAGACCTTTGGTGTGGGATGGTCTGTTCTAAACATAATAAGAAACCTAAAAGATACAACGAGGGAAAAAATAAAGAGATTTTACCACAAAAAATATCCAAAGTTCCTGTATGATGGAAAATAGCAAGGTTAAAATGCAAATGACAGATTTGAGAGAAAATATTTGCAGCACTTAAAAAATTGCCAAGTACAGTTACTTTAAGAGAAAAGCTTGCCTTGGGGTCCTTAGAGTAAGACACTGGGCTTGCTGAGCAGCTACGTAAAGATTCTAGAGGGACGCAGCGGAGCTCTTCCAGACCATCCAGGCTTGGTGCTGCCAGCTTCAGGCCAGGGCACATGGAATCCGTCTACATCACAGTGGAAGAAATAAGATCATCAATGTGAAGTGCTTAGCATAGTGCTTAGTACATATAAGAGCTAAGTAAATATGGGCTGTAACCACACTAGTAAAGGATGCTAAGCAGTTACATTATAGCAGGTGTTATTCGCTAGTATATGATTTGTAATAAATGATAAGTGAGAATCTGTGAACCCCCTAGGAAATTAGCAGAATAAAGGCTATTACCTTCGGAGGTCTTAAATGTGCAATGAAATTATTCATCTTCCCGGAACTGAAATGTTTAATCCTACACACTGGCCTTCTAGAACTATGTAACGCAGGATTGGTCAAGGTGTGGCCCAGGATCATCAGGAGTCCAGCATTCTGGCCTGTCCTGACTGGGGCTGCTTCTTCAGCAGGGATGCTGGAATGAGGGTCTGTGGATCAGAGTTGCAGCTCCCTGAGACTCCTTGAGACACGTGACAAGAGCAAGAAATAAAATCTTGTAGTACATGGGGGGAAAGCAGATCCCTGGGCACAACCTATTGGACTAGTCCCTTGGAATAGGGGCCAAAGAATCTGCATTTTAAGCTCCCAGATGATTCTTTTGCATACATAATTTGGAAATGGGTCTCCAATTTTAAGGCAAGCAGCAACCCTTGACCATGGAGCTCTGGACTGAGGTCTCACAGTTCTGAGAGTTACAAGCAAAAGTGGAACTGGTACCGAACAGAATCAACTTCGACCACTAGAAATGGATGGAATTCTGTTTCTGCACCTCTCAATCCACCTGGAAGCATTCCATTTCCATGAAGAAGGGAGGGCTGTATGGCCCGTTGGAATGACGAAGAGAAAGGCAGATTCAAACTAAGAACTGGGTCCTCCTGCGCAGGGTGAGCCAGGCCCACACAGCGCTTTGATTTGGCTTGGGTAGCGGGTGAGTATAACCTTTAACACGTGGAGAGTGACATCTTTAACCTGAACTTGATCTGTTTCCCATACTGTCAGTGTGGTTGGCTGATGACACTCAGGCACTCACAGAGGAGGGAAATCAAAGACTGGGTGGTGGGATAAAGCTTACCACCAAAATAGAGATATCTGAACATCTTTGTTTTTCCCTAACAAAAATGTGTACCAAGAACAAACACTTGAAGGAGCAATTCTCATGGTTGGACCTGTCTTAATTCTCATTGGAGAGACCAGATGCTTCACAACAAACCTCAGTTTTACTTGAGAGTCAGTGAGAATTCAGTTGCCAAGACCAAATGGGTCTGCAAAAGAGCCTCCATCCATTCTGGCTCCTGACTTTGGACCTCCCTAGTTGAGAATAAACATGAACTGGAAGTGAACTCTACATAATTAGGTAGCCTAAGACTGGAAGGCTAAGTCGGGTTGGGGATGAGATCTTGGCATTTGGAATGTGACAGGGTTGAAGATTTAAGATAGCAGTGGGTGTGGAAGCCTTGAGAAGCTCTAAAGACAGGTTTCCCTTTCAGAATGCATAGGAGCTCACACTCAAACTAGAGGAGTAAGCACAGCTATATTGCTGCTCCCTCAACTCCTGATGCCTAAGAATGCTAAACGAAGTATTTAAATGTTAAAGCATTCTAAGTCTAGGCCAGAAGCAAAACTTTTGCTTCCCAGCCCAGCAAAAGACAAAGTGAGCATACATATAAACTGTGAGGTGCCCTATTATCACAGACTTAAGGTAGTAATTATTAATATGACTTTCTTTATGTTGATGGTTATAGTTGGTTATTTAGAATGTCTTTGTCTAAATACTAAAGTATTTAAGGGTGCTAGGGCATCAGGCCAGTAAGTTAATCCCAAGTGGTTCAAGGAAAAAAAGTTACTTATCCTATACTTCTGGCTTCTCTATAAGTTTCTGATTCTTTGAAAAACTTTTGAATTTAAAAAATGCCTATTTTCTCTATTGGCTCCTATCAAACGGGTTGTCTAAGGAGGCCTCAGATTTATAATCCGAATCCACTAGCCACTTCAGACCTGATCTTTACTACGTCCAGTGTTAGTGACCTCAGTCGTGCACACTCTTGTCTGGTTAAAAGGCCCAGCGCTAAGGTTCTGATTCTGTCACGATTCCATCTATTTGATCATCAAGAAACCTTCTCACTAATCCAAGCTTCTTATTTCTTCTCTATAGAACGAGAATAATCCCAACCCTGCCCATCTCATCTGGTTATTATAATTATAAAGAACAGATGACATAACGTGAGATTTGTAAAACATCAAGCACCTTGTGACAATCATTCCAAAGGTACAGAAGGTGTTAATGTTTGTTAAATGTCCTGAAATTAAATTTTAAACCACTTAAAAACTGCAGATTGATTTTAAAACTTTGGTAAGTATTGTTTTTAAAAGTGTAAGGAAAAAAAGTATTTTTAAAAATCCTGTAATCCCACCCCCAGAAAAACTAATTTAAAGAAAAAATGAAAACCCAAATTCTCCAAAACGTTACATACTGTGGTCTACCTTAAGAGGATTAGAGTGAGCTTTTGAACTTTGTCCGTTTATCTGGGACTGTCCTGAAATTCGTTTTCCTTTCAAGTCATCTGTTGCCCTTCGCCTTTTTTTTTTTTTTTTTTTTTTTTTTTTCATAAAAATAAACTGCGGTCTTTTTTGGTAGAAAACACA